CTGATTATCTAAAAATCTAGGATAGTGATATTAAACCAAATTAGGTTCTCAATGATGGCTGATAATATTTGAGAAAAAGAAATGACCTTAACACATATTAAAGGTCACAACGGTCAAATGCGTTAAACCTTTGAACAACTTCTGCTTAACCAAAAGGCCTTAATCATAATATTTGGCCAAAAGGGTAAAATCATTAACAACATCTGATTGACCAAAGGCTGTCATATGTGGCCAGTAAAAGTTTCACAAAGGCTTATTATATACAAATATGTAGAACCTTCCAATGACTTATAAAAGGAAAATATTTGGCTGGGAATTTTCTTGGCACAACTTGGAATAAATTGTAAAGACCTTCCACAGTGATGTCACACTGTTCCAAAAAATAGATTAGGCCAAGCCCCTGGAGACCTGAGCGGCTTGAGCTAAGTAATGTGATTCACAGTCTTAAAATACAGAAAACATGATCGCACAGAGAATTGCAAGAGCTTCATTTTGATTTGAGATTCTTCATAATTATAGCATAAATAAATAAGAAATTCGAAGCTGATCCCATTTGCTATGCAGTGTTTATAGGCCTACAGTAAACTGTTATCATTATATCTCCAGTAACCGGGGCTTTACTGGCCATCACTAATGATATGCTTGAAACGTTTTATTATTGGTTTTGAGTTAGGATTATGGTTTATAATTACATGTACCTTAATTTTTCCTGTCTTTATATTTAATTGTTGCTATATATTGTTGACTTGTGCAAGTCTCAAATATGTTGTATCTGTGTTTGTAAACAATGATCTAAAGGGCAAGTAAGCTTCTGCTGTCCTGGGTCATCCGTCCAGCTATAACTAAGAGTTTTTCTGCTATACTGTTTGACCATCTTCTTTCCTTGATTTAAAAGAAAGCTATCAATTATATTTAACTGGAAACATAAGAAAGTCTCAATTCAACATTGCATATGATGATAGATGAGGGGGCTGACAACTAAGGGACAGAACCCATATGGAGTAATTTGTCATATTGCTTTAAGCATCTACTGTAGAACATATGCACAGATATAGTACTGTTGGTCATAAAGATCCAGGTGAGCGATACAGGCCCTCTGGGCCTCTTGTTATTAATGTCTTAAAGTTATTTAGTGTCACACAATTGTAATGAAAACTTGTAGACATGGACTTATATGAGTATTCATTGTATAGTTCAGGTTTCCATCGGTACAAACTTCAGGTTTACCTGAAACACTAAAATAATAGAAATTCCTGTGAATAGTTTTATGAGTATGGTGGCAAAATATAGTGTTAACAGAAAAGGCTGCATGGTGGATGTATATCTTGTATAGACAGCTAAACTGGAGTGTTTATATATCATAGTTTATGTTTTTTCTCCAGAGTTGATGAATTCCTCAGTGACTTACCTTTGATGTTGGGAGGAAGTTGGAGGGGTTATTTTATGACCTAGGTGGAGGCTCCATGTTTTTAGCATCACTACCGTCTACCATCTTGATACATTCAGTCTGACAATAACACTGCCTGACATGTTGGTGGTTCCCTGCGCTGTTGCTCAGGGGGAAAAAAAAAAAAAAAACTCTCTTAATTACTCACACAAAATCTGTCAAAACCTTAATAAAAGTATTTGTATTGGTTAAAATGTTGTATTCAGTGGGAGACATAAACTACACACAAATCTGGTTTACTTAACTTTGATCTGAGGAGATCTGGAAGGTGGTACTAGAGCACAAGTAAACAAGGTCAGCCTTAAGTATGCACCAGGATTCTCCCAGGTTTTTATCAAAGCACCTTAACTATTTTCTAGGTTGTTGAGTATTTTTGCAACATTGCATGATTCACAGAGACCATCTGTTAAAGTGTTTTGTGTTACTAGTAACACCAAGACAGACCCTCTATAATCATGGCAACCAACAAAATTCACTTAAGGGTTCTTTCCCAAAGGTCAAGGTTAGTTTAATTTCTAATTAGTTTGATTAAGTGAAAGAGAAGGATTTTGGAGTGTTGTTTAGAGGGTGATGGTTCTACAATGTTTCTATGTGGAATTTTTTTTTTTTTTATATGTTGTTTCAAACAATGTGACTTGTGTGGAAGCTTTGTGTAAATGTATGCAGCTTAGTTCCTACTTTGACAAATATCTTTCATCATTTTAACAAATTTCTGACAAGCGTGCTATATTTGGACTCACTAACAATAGTGCATTGTTATAGAAAGAGGACAAAATATCTGGACAAACTCGTTTCATAAGTAAAAGTTAGGTAGTTAAACGGTGTTGGAAAAACGCAACAAAACTCAGATAAATGTGTAAAATTGCAGGTAAGCAAAACATTGGAGATAAAAATGAAAGTTTTTACAGGTGGGTGAAGTGTGCTGGTCAAAATTAAAAATTGTATAGGTAAACCACTATATTATAGAAGTTTAAAGACAGGTGGTACAAGGGCTGCAAGGATGAAAAGTTCAGTTATAGACAAATATCTGGAGGATCTTAGAGCTGTTTCGAACAAACGAGTGCAGCCAAAAATGATGAAGCATTTGGTGAAGGAAAATGTATCCTGAAATCCAGTGATTGACAGATTACAAACCCATAACCACTAAATCTTTATCTCCTTACATTGTTGTTTATAGGGAAGGCACTTTTAATGCACAAGAAAAGGTTCCTGTATGAATTCTGCATTTAGTGTAAAAAAAGATTGTATTATCACATAGCAATCTAAATATTGTACCTGTATTGGTGTGGACAGGTGGTGAACTTGCATGAATTGTAAAATTCCCATCTGGTTAACATAAAGTTCCAAGGTACAAAGCATGACAACACAGTCACGAAGTGAGGTATGGGAAAAAAAGCTAGGTACTTTTCTCTGTTACCTCGCATCAACAACCCCTAATTCTGTGTAGAAAATCGAATATCAATGTCACATGACATTTTTACCATGTACCGCACTTCAATGGTTTGGTGTTGCACACAGTTTGTCGACTCCGCGATCTATAAGTTGGTGACATAGCACACACCACTCGGGTAAATTTTGTTAAAGCGAGGTCATTTTCATGTACCTCAGTAGGCTGGTCTGGTGTTACCACACTGTGTGTTAATAGAATTTCGTTAAATTGAGGTGAGTTTTATGTACCTTACTAAGCTGGTTGAGTATTGCCACTGTGTTACCACTACCATTATTTATTGTGGCCTTTTCAAGCTCTAGTGAATACCTTATTTAGATATATCTTTATCATAACTTTCTTTGCTATGTAAACTGTTTTTTTTTATTTGAGTGTGTGTACCTCAGTTTGTCTATACCAAAGTATGACATGACACATCTGTGTCTCACAATGTATGTGAAAATTCAGATTTTCAAATTTCAGAAAAACTTATAATCTGTGTAACGATCAAGCTTTGGCGATAGTTTTAGACAGGTTAATCAGAAATTTATTCCACACCCATCATTAGTTTCGGTAGACCTCACTTTGCTTCTTCCTGTACTTGTTTCAAAATTTACCTCGGTTTGTTACATATACTGGTAGTGGTGTGCATGCATGCGTGTGTGCATGTGTGTGTGTGTGCATGCACCTGTAGATAGACCGGTAGATAGACCTGTAGATAGACCTGTAGATAGACCGGTAGATAGACCTGGGGATAGACCTGTAGATAGACCTGTAGATAAACCTGTAGAGACCTGTAGATAGACCGGTAGATAGACCTGTAGATAGACCGGTAGATAGACCGGTAGATAGACCTGTAGGTAGACCTGGGGATAGACCTGGAGATAGACCTGTAGATAGACGTGGGGATAGACCTGTAGATAGACCGGTAGATAGACCGGTAGATAGACCTGTAGATAGACCTGGGGATAGACTTGTAGATAGACCTGGGGATAGACCTGGAGATAGACCTGTAGATAGACGTGGGGATAGACCTGTAGATAGACCGGTAGATAGACCGGTAGATAGACCTGTAGATAGACCTGGGGATAGACTTGTAGATAGACGTGGGGATAGACCTGTAGATAGACCGGTAGATAGACCTGTAGATAGACCTGTAGATAGACCTGGGGATAGACCTGTAGATAGACCTGTAGATAGACTGGTAGATAGACCGGTAGATAGACCTGTAGATAGACCTGGAGATAGACCTGTAGATAGACCGGTAGATAGACCTGTAGATAGACCTGTTGGTAGACCGGTAGATAGACCGGTAGATAGACCTGTAGATAGACCGGTAGATAGACCTGTAGATAAACCTATAGATAGACCTGTAGATAGACCTGGGGGTAGACCTGTAGATAGATCGGTAGATAGACCTGTAGATAGACCTGTAGATAGACCTGGAGATAGACCTGTAGATAGATCGGTAGATAGACCTGGGGGTAGACCTGTAGATAGACCTGTAGATAAACCTGTAGAGACCTGTAGATAGATCGGTAGATAGACCTGTAGAGACCTGTAGATAGACCTGTAGATAGACCGGTAGATAGACCTGTAGATAAACCTATAGATAGACATGTAGATAGACCTGGGGGTAGACCTGTAGATAGATCAGTAGATAGACCTGTAGATAGACCTGTAGATAAACCTATAGATAGATCGGTAGATAGACCTGTAGATAAACCTATAGATAGACCTGTAGATAGACCTGGGGGTAGACCTGTAGATAGATCGGTAGGTAGACCTGTAGAGACCTGTAGATAGACCTGGATAAGGAGAAGTGCAGAGTACATCAACTATTGTTGAGTTACTGAAACTGTATGTGTACATTGATCTTACATACCAAATTCGAGGCCTTTAGTAACTTTTTGATTACAGAATTATTGCCCTTTGACTGAATTTTTGTGTCTAGTAAAATTGTTTTTGGGAAGCATTCGTCAGTCTCACTGATACTCTTGTTTTGACAGTGATGTAGAGGTACATTCACAGTGTAAACTGTATGATTGTTTCTATGGTAATTATTTATTTGCAGGTGCCTGTCGATTCCTCAGTGCGATTGTTTCTATGGTAATTATTTATTTGCAGGTGCCTGTCGATTCCTCAGTGCGACTTGTCTTCAAGAGTCATATGCGCCGGTCAATTCGGAAAGTTATCAACATGCCACAGACAAGAAAGGAATTGCTTGACTGGGTTAAGGCAGAACATCATGCGATCACATCCTTCACAGAGCTTCGTAAAGGCAACAGGATTGAACTTACTGTTGGTCCAGGTAAATATGCCGCCTTGCTAAAGGACGTAACTTACTGTTTGCTCAGGAACACAAAATAGTGTGGTTAGTGTTTTAAAGAACTTGTGTAGGATGGTTGACCTGAGACAGACATAGTGTGCAGGCTTTCCAGCGTCCCTAAAATTCCTAAAAAAATCCTACTTTTTTTCAGTTTTCCTAAAAAAAATGAAAAATTCAAAGGGAATTCCTAAAAAAAGCCCTAATTTTTCACTTCAGTTCCTACTTTTTTATATTTCTTACAACTGAAATTGTTTTCATTAAAATCATACTTAAAACGTGTTTTAATGTAGTCCGTAGTTCTAATTCAGGGTAGACCATGAAAGGCAGTTGACCAGTGGATATATGTACCCAGATTGTTATTGGTTGTGACTGAGTGACAGAGGTGTGATTCTTAAGGTCACAGCCAACAGCAGCTGGGACACTGAAACCCTGGAAGACACCTTTCCTGCAATTAAGGCATTGTATGTTAATTTCTATTTTGTCAAATTTGCAAAGGTAAGTCAGTTTAATGCTTTCATGCTCCCTATTCTAGTTACAACATTCCTAATTTAAGCCCTAAATTTGCCCTAAAATTTTGTAATTTTAACCCTAAAATTAGCCCTAATTTTGTGCTGGACAGCCTGAGTGTGGTCAGGGATTGTGTGAAACAGAACCTGTGTAGGATGGTTGACATGAGACAGACATAGTGTGATCAGGGATTGTGTGAAACAGAACGTTTATGCTTAAAATAACATAAGTTATGGTCGTCTACATTGTGGTCACTACCATCACATTTCTGGCAGGGTTGAAGCGAAGGTATGGAGGATGGTGTACCAGTGTTTGTGGACATTTAGAAGAAATACGATAGACACTGATAAAACTTGATTATATGGAGATCTGTTGACTGTTTTAGGGCCGAACTCTTCCCCTGTCTGCGAGATCAGAGATGACCAGCCTTTGAATGCTGTAGCTCGTATTGAACAGCTCCAATTGCTATCAGGATGCAGTTCCAGAGGACATATTGACTCTCAATCAAGGTAACTATCCTACCTCCAAATCTTGGTAGCTCTCTATAGCATTACAATGGACTTTCATATCCCATGTTATACAGTACAGGTCTACAGTGAGAGTTATGGTCCCTGTTTCTATCACATTATACTGTACTGGTCTACAGTGAGAGCTACGGTCCCTGTTTCTATCACATTATACAGTACAGGTCTACAGTGAGAGTTATGGTCCCTGTTTCTATCACATTATACTGTACAGGTCTACAGTGAGAGTTATGGTCCCTGTTTCTATCACATTATACTGTACTGGTCTACAGTGAGAGCTACGGTCCCTGTTTCTATCACATTATACTGTACTGGTCTACAGTGAGAGCTACGGTCCCTGTTTCTATCACATTATACTGTACTGGTCTACAGTGAGAGTTATGGTTCCTGTTTCTATCACATTACAATGAACTGGTCACATGGTACACAGGTTACTGTTTTGTATCAGGTGATACACAGGTTACTGTTTTGTGTCACATGTTACACAGGTTCCTGTTCTATGTCACATAGTACACAGGTTACTGTTCTATGTCACATAGTACACAGGTTACTGTTCTGTGTCACATAGTACACAGGTTACTGTTCTGTGTCACATGTACACATGGTACACATGTTACTGTTTTGTATCAGGTGATACACAGGTTACTGTTCTGTGTCACATGTTACACAGGTTCCTGTTCTATGTCACATGGTACACATGTTCCTGTTCTATGTCACATGGTACACATGTTCATATTCTGTGTCACATGGTACACAGGTTCCTGTTCTATGTCACATGGTACACATATTGATGTTCTGTATCACATGGTAAACAGGTAGTACACAGGTTCCTGTTCTGTGTCACATGGTACACATATTCATGTTCTGTGTCACATGGTACACATGTTCACGTTTTTGTGTCAACAGCAGGCTAACATCAATGACCATGGTACAGTTGCGGAGCCTGAGTGGTACTCATTACTTTGAAAAAATAATTAAACTATGAAGTAGCTTAAAACCAGAACACAATAAGAATTTAGATACGTACAAGTACACACATCTCACACTTATGCTGTGCACAGTGATCATACGCATTGATGTAACATATTACACATAAGTCATGTCAGGGTCTAATTCATTTTGGCTTATCAACTTGGAATTTTACCAAAACTTATCAGTCCAAACAGATAGCAAAATCAATATTGTAATTTGCCTGATGGCTATAGGAATGATGGATCAGGATGATCTAAATATAGATCTCTGACCTACCTGGATAATGCCTTGACCTTCACAGTCTATTTATAGAAGAGGTATTGATTTCTGGCCTGGATCTGGGTTGTTTACTTGTTGTGTTCTATTGGGGTCAAGCTGTTATCAGTGATTGGTCACTGCTGCGTGGCTTCATCAACGATTCTCATTGCTCTTCAGGATCGATGATTGTTGAGGGTGCTGGGATCAATATAAGGACCTTGTTCTAACTGACGATTGGTCATTTGTATGAAGGGCACTTAGTCATTATTTTATTTCCTAGTAGATTTATCTTATCATAGACATTCCTTTTTTATCTGGGCACCAAAATGTTACATTATTTTTTGAGGCCACAACTTTCATGGTAAACAAAATTCATATTTCAAACATATAAAAACATTCACTTGTTTTACAGTTGAAAACTAACTAATTAAGCTGTGATTAAGATGTTAAATCGTTAAAATGTATGTCTTAGTCTAAATTTCTCCATTATTCATGATCAATGTGTCTTCAGGAAACCTCACTTTGTCTAACCTTCTCTATCACTCATGATCAATGTGTCTTCAGGAAACCTTACTTAGTCTAAACTTCTCCTTCATTCATGATCAATGTGTCTTCAGGAAACCTCACTTAGTCTAAACTTCTCCATCACTCATGATAAATGTTTTTCAGGAAACCTTACTTAGTGTAAACTTCTCCATCACTCATGATCAATGTGTCTTCAGGAAACCTCACTTAGTCTAAACTTCTCCATCACTCATGATAAATGTTTTTCAGGAAACCTTACTTAGTGTAAACTTCTCCATCACTCATGATCAATGTGTCTTCAGGAAACCTTACTTAGTCTAAACTTCTCCATCACTCAATGTGTCTTCAGGAAACCTTACTTAGTGTAAACTTCTCCATCACTCATGATCAATGTTTTTCAGGAAACCTTACTTAGTGTAAACTTCTCCATCACTCAATGTGTCTTCAGGAAACCTTACTTAGTCTAAACTTCTCCATCACTCATGATCAATGTTTTTCAGGAAACCTTACGTAGTCTAAACTTCTCCATCACTCAATGTGTCTTCAGGAAACCTTACTTAGTCTAAACTTCTCCATCACTCATGATCAATGTTTTTCAGGAAACCTTACGTAGTCTAAACTTCTCCATCACTCAATGTGTCTTCAGGAAACCTTACTTAGTCTAAACTTCTCCATCACTCATGATCAATGTTTTTCAGGAAACCTTACGTAGTCTAAACTTCTCCATCACTCAATGTGTCTTCAGGAAACCTTACTTAGTCTAAACTTCTCCATCACTCAATGTGTCTTCAGGATGATGTCTCTGTATCAAATGGGACCCTGTGTCTATAACGAGGATGATGTGTCTATACTTCTGTTAGTTGAGTTATATATGTTACAGCCTTACCTGTTAATTGAGTTATATATGTTACAGCCTTACCTGTTAAGTTATATATGTTACAGCCTCACCTGTTAATTGAGTTATATATGTTACAGCCTTACCTGTTGAGTTATATATATTACAGCCTCACCTGTTAATTGAGTTATATATGTTACAGCCTCACCTGTTAATTGAGTTATATATGTTACAGCCTTACCTGTTGAGTTATATATGTTACAGCCTTACCTGTTGAGTTATATATATTACAGCCTCACCTGTTAATTGAGTTATATATGTTACAGCCTCACCTGTTAATTGAGTTATATATGTTACAGCCTTACCTGTTGAGTTATATATGTTACAGCCTTACCTGTTGAGTTATATATATTACAGCCTCACCTGTTAATTGAGTTATATATGTTACAGCCTTACCTGTTAATTGAGTTATATATGTTACAGCCTTACCTGTTGAGTTATGTATGTTACAGCCTTACCTGTTAATTGAGTTATATATGTTACAGCCTTTCCTGTTGAGTTATGTATGTTACAGCCTTACCTGTTAATTGAGTTATATATGTTACAGCCTTACCTGTTAATTGAGTTATATATGTTACAGCCTTACCTGTTGAGTTATATATGTTACAGCCTTACCTGTTGAGTTATATATATTACAGCCTCACCTGTTAATTGAGTTATATATGTTACAGCCTTACCTGTTGAGTTATATATGTTACAGCCTTACCTGTAGAGTTATATATGTTACAGCCTCACCTGTTAATTGAGTTATATATGTTACAGCCTTACCTGTTAATTGAGTTATATATGTTACAGCCTTACCTGTTGAGTTATGTATGTTACAGCCTTACCTGTTAATTGAGTTATATATGTTACAGCCTTTCCTGTTGAGTTATGTATGTTACAGCCTTACCTGTTAATTGAGTTATATATGTTACAGCCTTACCTGTTAATTGAGTTATATATGTTACAGCCTTACCTGTTGAGTTATGTATGTTACAGCCTTACCTGTTAATAGAGTTATATATGTTACAGCCTCACCTGTTGAGTTATATATGTTACAGCCTTACCTGTTGAGTTATATATGTTACAGCCTTACCTGTTGAGTTATATATGTTACAGCCTTACCTGTTAATTGAGTTATATATGTTACAGCCTCACCTGTTGAGTTATATATGTTACAGCCTTACCTGTTGAGTTATATATGTTACAGCCTCACCTGTTGAGTTATATATGTTACAGCCTTACCTGTTAATTGAGTTATATATGTTACAGCCTCACCTGTTGAGTTATATATGTTACAGCCTTACCTGTTGAGTTATGTATGTTACAGCCTTACCTGTTGAGTTATATATGTTACAGTCTTACCTGTTGAGTTATATATGTTACAGCCTTACCTGTTAATTGAGTTATATATGTTACAGCCTTACCTGTTAATTGAGTTATATATGTTACAGCCTTACCTGTTGAGTTATATATGTTACAGCCTTACCTATGTTATTGAGCTGGAGAAGGCCTATGAAGGTAATCCGAGAGGGAAGCCCATTGAGGTAGAACTGGATATCAAGAGCCCCTCACGAAAGACTGCTAAATATAACTTGCTCCTTGTCCTGAAATCTCCAAGGTCCGTGATCTGGAAAATCCAAACCAAACGCATCCAGGGAAATTTAGATATTGTGGTAAGTTTATAAAATTACACTCACCTCTCAGTACTGGACTATCTAGTAAGGTAATATCTGTCTTATCCCAGGTAACTATGTTTATAAATGATCTGGACATCAGTGGTCCATGGTAACAATTCTCATAACTGACTGGACACCAGTGATCCCAGGTAACTGTTGTCATAAGTGACTGGACACTAGTGATCTCGGGTAACCATTGTCATAACTGACTGGATACCAGTGATCCCAGGTAACCATTGTCATAACTAACTGGATACCAGTGATTCAAGGTAATTGTTGTCATAACTGACTGGACACCAGTGATCCCAGGTAACTGTTGTCATAAGTGACTGGACACTAGTGATCTCGGGTAACCATTGTCATAACTAACTGGACACCAGTGATCTCAGGTAAATGTTGTCATAACTAACTGGATACTAGTGGTCCCAGGTAACCATTGTCATAACTGACTGGAAACCAGTGATCTCAGGTAACCATTGTCATAACTAACTGGATACCAGTGATTCAAGGTAATTGTTGTCATAACTGACTGGACAACAGTGATCCCAGGTAAACATTGTCATAAATGACTTGATACCAGTGATCCCAAGTAACCATTGTCATAACTAACTAGATACTAGTGGTCCCAGGTAACCATTGTCATAACTAACTGGATACCAGTGGTCCGAGGTAACCATTGTCATAACTAACTGGATACCGGTGGTCCGAGGTAACCATTGTCATAACTGACTTGATACCAGTGGTCCCAAGTAATAATTGTCATAACTAACTGGACACCAGTGATCTCAGGTAACTGTTGTCATAACTAACTTGATACCAGTGATCCCAGGTAACCATTGTCATAACTAACTGGATACCGGTGGTCCGAGGTAACCATTGTCATAACTGACTTGATACCAGTGGTCCCAAGTAATAATTGTCATAACTAACTGGACACCAGTGATCTCAGGTAACTGTTGTCATAACTAACTTGATACCAGTGATCCCAGGTAACCATTGTCAGAACTGACTGGATACCAGTGATCCCAGGTAACCATTGTCATAACTGACTTGATACCAGTGATTCAAGGTAATTGTTGTCAAAACTGACTGGATACCAGTGATCCCAGGTAACTGTTGTCCCTGACGGGATACCAGTGATCCAAGGTAAATTTGTCTCAACTTGTCATTGTAAGACCCTATTAATGTTTTAATTTCTCAGATAAGACTGTGAATGTCTGAACTAGATGGGTAAGACAGGGATTGTGTAAATGTCTTAACTGGCAATATACTTTTAGTGCTTGGACTACTAGAGATTTTAATGTGGGAAGTTCGGGCGATAAAAATGCTTATTTTAGCTGTTTTGTGAGTAAGTGAATTTCCTCAGATGAAAATATTAATTTTAGCTGTTTTGTGAGTAAGTGAATTTCTATGGATTCATTTTAGATATGTGTATCATTCAAAACTTGTTATATTCTTGGTTGCTGTTTTTTTTCCCAGTCTAATGCAGAAGTGAGCATGTTAGGGATCAAGGTGGACAATGCTGGGACACGCCTAGAGACCATAACTTACAAGCGAGAGGGACTCATCCAGTGGGTCAACTACCATAATGGGCCAGTCTCGCTGTATGCTGGCATCAGTCTCGCTAATAAGGTCACCATCGTATTACCACAGACAGGTGAGAGAACAGACAATTAACAGGTATATAGATACCACAGACAGGTGAGAGAACAGGCCATTGACAGGTATATAGATACCACAGACAGGTGAGAGAACAGACAATTAACAGGTATATAGATACCACAGACAGGTGAGAGAACAGGCCATTGACAGGTATATAGATACCACAGACAGGTGAGAGAATAGACGATTGACAGGTATATAGATACCACAGACAGGTGAGAGAATAGACGATTGATAGGTATATAGATACCACAGACAGGTGAGAGAATAGACGATTGACAGGTATATAGATACCACAGACAGGTGAGAGAACAGGCCATTGACAGGTATATAGATACCACAGACAGGTGAGAGAATAGACGATTGACAGGTATATAGATACCACAGACAGGTGAGAGAACAGGCCATTGACAGGTATATAGATACCACAGACAGGTGAGAGAATAGACGATTGACAGGTATATAGATACCACAGACAGGTGAGAGAATAGACAATTGACAGGTATATAGATACCACAGACAGGTGAGAGAACAGGCCATTGACAGGTATATAGATACCACAGACAGGGGAGAGAACAGGCCATTGACAGGTGTGTAGATACCACAGACAGGTGAGAGAACAGATAATAAACAGGTATATAGATACCACAGACATAGATACCACAGACAGGTGAGAGAACAGATAATAAACAGGTATATAGATACCACAGACAGGTGAGAGAACAGACAACAAACAGGTGTGTAGATACCACAGACAGGTGAGAGAACAGGCAATTGACAGGTATATAGATACCACAGACAGGTGAGAGAACAGGCCATTGACAGGTATATAGATACCACAGACAGGTGAGAGAACAGATAATAAACAGGTGTATAGATACCACAGACAGGTGAGAGAACAGACAATAAACAGGTGTGTAGATCCCACAGACAGGTGAGAGAACAGATAATAAACAGGTATATAGATACCACAGACAGGTGAGAGAACAGATAAACAGATAATAAACAGGTGTATAGATACCACAGACAGGTGAGAGACACAGATTGAGAGAAAACAGGTATATAGATACCACAGACAGGTGAGAGAACACAGACATGAGAGAACAACAGGTATATAGATACCACAGACAGGTGAGAGAACAGATAATAAACAGGTGTATAGATACCACAGACAGGTGAGAGAACAGACAATAAACAGGTATATAGATACCACAGACAGGTGAGAGAACAGATAATAAACAGGTGTGTAGATACCACAGACAGGTGAGAGAACAGATAATAAACAGGTGTATAGATACCACAGACAGGTGAGAGAACAGATAATAAACAGGTGTATAGATACCACAGACAGGTGAGAGAACAGATAATAAACAGGTATATAGATACCACAGACAGGTGAGAGAACAGATAATAAACAGGTGTGTAGATACCACAGACAGGTGAGAGAACAGATAATAAACAGGTATATAGATACCACAGACAGGTGAGAGAACAGATAATAGACAGGTGTGTAGATACCACAGACAGGTGAGAGAACAGATAATAAACAGGTATATAGATACCACAGACAGGTGAGAGAACAGATAATAGACAGGTGTGTAGATACCACAGACAGGTGAGAGAACAGATAATAAACAGGTGTATAGATACCACAGACAGGTGAGAGAACAGATAATAAACAGGTATATAGATACCACAGACAGGTGAGAGAACAGATAATAAACAGGTGTATAGATACCACAGACAGGTGAGAGAACAGGCCATTGACAGGTGTGTAGATACCACAGACAGGTGAGAGAACAGATAATAAACAGGTATATAGATACCACAGACAGGTGAGAGAACAGATAATAAACAGGTGTATAGATACCACAGACAGGTGAGAGAACAGACAATAAACAGGTGTGTAGATACCACAGACAGGGGAGAGAACAGATAATAAACAGGTATATAGATACCACAGACAGGTGAGAGAACAGATAATAAACAGGTATATAGATACCACAGACAGGTGAGAGAACAGGCGATTGACAGGTGTGTAGATACCACAGACAGGTGAGAGAACAGATAATAAACAGGTATATAGATACCACAGACAGGTGAGAGAACAGATAATAAACAGGTGTATAGATACCACAGACAGGTGAGAGAACAGATAATAAACAGGTGTGTAGATACCACAGACAGGTGAGAGAACAGATAATAAACAGGTGTGTAGATACCACAGACAGGTGAGAGAACAGATAATAAACAGGTGTATAGATACCACAGACAGGTGAGAGAACAGATAATAAACAGGTATATAGATACCACAGACAGGTGAGAGAACAGGCCATTGACAGGTATATAGATACCACAGACAGGTGAGAGAACAGATAATAAACAGGTATATAGATACCACAGACAGGTGAGAGAACAGATAATAAACAGGTATATAGATACCACAGACAGGTGAGAGAACAGATAATAAACAGGTGTATAGATACCACAGACAGGTGAGAGAACAGATAATAAACAGGTGTGTAGATACCACAGACAAGTGAGAGAACAGATAATAGACAGGGGTGTAGATACCACAGACAGGTGAGAGAACAGATAATAAACAGGTGTATAGATACCACAGACAGGTGAGAGAACAGATAATAAACAGGTGTGTAGATACCACAGACAGGTGAGAGAACAGATAATAAACATAGATACCACAGACAGGTGAGAGAACAGATAATAAACAGGTGTATAGATACCACAGACAGGTGAGAGAACAGATAATAAACAGGTATATAGATACCACAGACAGGTGAGAGAACAGATAATAAACAGGTATATAGATACCACAGACAGGTGAGAGAACAGATAATAAACAGGTGTGTAGATACCACAGACAGGTGAGAGAACAGATAATAGACAGGTGTGTAGATACCACAGACAGGTGAGAGAACAGATAATAAACAGGTATATAGATACCACAGACAGGTGAGAGAACAGATAATAAACAGGTGTATAGATACCACAGACAGGTGAGAGAACAGATAATAAACAGGTATATAGATACCACAGACAGGTGAGAGAACAGATAATAAACAGGTGTGTAGAGACAGGTGAGAGAACAGATAATAAACAGGTATATAGATACCACAGACAGGTGAGAGAACAGATAATAAACAGGTATATAGATACCACAGACAGGTGAGAGAACAGATAATAAACAGGTATATAGATACCACAGACAGGTGAGAGAACAGATAATAAACAGGTGTGTAGATACCACAGACAGGTGAGAGAACAGATAATAGACAGGTGTGTAGATACCACAGACAGGTGAGAGAACAGATAATAAACAGGTGTGTAGATACCACAGACAGGTGAGAGAACAGATAATAAACAGGTGTATAGATACCACAGACAGGTGAGAGAACAGATAATAAACAGATAATAAAATAATAAAACAGATAATTTATATTTTACAGATGAATCTGAATCTGAGAAAGAACCCGAAAATCCCTCTAAGATCATAACACCTCCATTTGACAATATACCCCACACCAAGAGAGTCTTTAACAGAGCAATCCATGCTGAGTGTCATCCAGAGAGACATATGATTGTTGCCTTCAGCAAACTCATTCAGCAGGTAAATTATTGCATCCTGATACAACTCTAGATATTTAATGTTGATGCCACACTACACTGACAATAGAATGTTGTCTGTCACACACTACACTCACAATAGAATGTTGTCTGTCACATACTACACTGACAATAGAATGTTGTCTGTCACACACTACACTGACAATAGAATGTTGTCTGTCACACACTACACTGACAATAGAATGTTGTCTGTCACACACTACACTGACAATAGAATGTTGTCTGTCACACACTACACTGACAACAGAATGTTGTCTGTCACACACTACACTGACAATAGAATGTTGTCTGTCACACACTACTTACAATATAATGTTGTCTGTCACACACTACACTGACAATATAATGTTGTCTGTCACACACTACACTGACAATAGAATGTTGTCTGTCACACACTACACTGACAATATAATGTTGTCTGTCACACACTACACTGACAATAGAATGTAGTTTGTCACACACTACACTTACAATAGAATGTTGTCTGTCAAACACTACACTTACAATAGAATGTTGTCTGTCACACACTACACTGACAATAGAATGTTGTCTGTCACACACTACACTGACAATAGAATGTTGTCTGTCACACACTACACTGACAATAGAATGTTGTCTGTCACACACTACACTGACAATAGAATGTTGTCTGTCACACATTACACTGACAATAGAATGTTGTCTGTCACACACTACACTGACAATAGAATGCTGTCTGTCACACACTACTTACAATAGAATGTTGTCTGTCACACACTACACTGACAATAGAATGTTGCCTGTCACACACTACACTGACAATAGAATGTTGTCTGTCACACACTACACTGACAATAGAATGTTGTCTGTCACACACTACACTGACAATAGAATGTTGTCTGTCACACACTACACTGACAATAGAATGTTGTCTGTCACACACTACACTGACAATAGAATGTTGTGTGTCACACACTACACTGACAATAGAATGTTGTCTGTCACACACTACACTGACAATAGAATGTTGTCTGTCACACACTACACTGACAATAGAATGTTGTCTGTCACACACTACACTGACAACAGAATGTTGTCTGTCACACACTACACTTGAGTATTTGTAAGAGCATTCTACATTTTAATTACAGAACTTTGGGCTTGAAATCGATCAGTTGACTTTGAGGGACCCAGCATGCAAAGCAGGAACAAATGAAACCCATGTCATCCTGGGTCTGTCTCCTTCAAACTGTGGTACCCAAGCTACAGTCACCGACGGCAACACGTTCTATAACAATGTGGTGAGTATATACAGGAGTGGTAGTACGCATTTTAACATGTTTTCAAGAACATGTTTTCTGTGATTTTAGTAAGGTGCAATTTATGTACGGAAGACTGAATCTTAAATAACTTGGTCGATAGTCGATTCAGTAAATGTTTCACCATTATGTTGATGTCCTTTACATTTTGACTACCACTAGTATTTATGTATAACATTTTCAGTTGCTGGTCCACCGTTCCTCCGCGGATGGATTGGAGGAAGTCGGAAGTGGCTATGATGCCCTGTCAGATAACGAGATTTCCGGTTCCGGATCGCACGATCCCAAAAGTGAAACCTACTTTGATGATGAAGATTTCCAAAGAGATGCAATTCGAATAGAAGTTATGTGTCAGTTCATTGAACATGAGGGGATATCTGACTCGCAACTGGTATGTGAAACAGTCACAGGTGCCTAGGTTTTTGTCTAAAGGATGATATTATTCAAATCTTGATAAACACAATATGTCATTTTCAGTAGTGAATGTTGATGACTTTTTACATTATTTAGAAAATTCTTGTTCAAATTCACCATATTGGCAACACTTGACAGAGATACCTTTAAGTTTGCCATTCCTTGTGTGATGTTTTGAGTCCTGTAACATATTATGTTGAGATAGTAGCCTCAACATCATTTTTTAAAAGAGATTTATTTAATGCACCGAAAAGGTTTTGTATGTTTCTTCAGAATAATATGAAAAAAAACCTAAAAAAATCACATTAGAAAATCATTTTATCAGAAAATTTTCGTGCTGGTATTTTTTATTCACTTAGTTATTGCGTTTTAACCAATAAAAGTATTTTAAGTTATAAACGACAGTGGTATTGTAGCATGTCACTTAGCTGTACATTTTTATTTTAGACGACACAAACTGATACTTCTTGGACACAGTCTAACCGCAGTTTTAGCATCAAGCTGTATCGCTCTAGTGTGATGAAGGAGCCCGTGTATCGCTTCCCTATGACAGTTTCTCCCTACAGTTATATATATGTGGAAGTCGATATGCAACCTGGTAAGTTTGTAATCTATGTGTTCACTCACACAGCTGACCAATCAGTAGTAACCCACACCACCGACCAATCAGTAGTAACCCACACCACCGACCAATCAGTAGTAACCCACACCACCGACCAATCAGTAGTAACCCACACCACCGACCAATCAGTAGTAACCCACACCACCGACCAATCAGTAGTAACCCACACCACCAACCAATCAGTAGTAACCCACACCACCGACCAATCAACAGTAACCCACACCAATCAGTAGTAACCCACACCACCGACCAATCAGCAGTAACCCACACCACCGACCAATCAGTAGTAACCCACACCACCGACCAATCAGTAGTAACCCACACCACCGCCCAATCAACAGTAACCCACACCACCGACCAATCAGTAGTAACCCACACCACCGACCAATCAGTAGTAAACTACACCACCGACCAATCAGGAGTAACCCACACCACCGACCAATCAGTAGTAACCCACACCACCGACCAATCAACAGTAACCCACACCACCGACCAATCAACAGTAACCCACACCACAGACCAATCAACAGTAACCCACACCACCGACCAATCAGTAGTAACCCACACCACCGACCAATCAGTAGTAACCCACACCACCGACCAATCAGTAGTAACCCACACCACCGACCAATCAACAGTAACCCACACCACCGACCAATCAACAGTAACCCACACCACCGACCAATCAGGAGTAACCCACACCACAGACCAATCAACAGTAACCCACACCACCGACCAATCAGTAGTAACCCACACCACCGACCAATCAGTAGTAACCTACACCACCGCCCAATCAGTAGTAACCCACACCACCGACCAATCAGTAGTAACCCACACCACCGCCCAATCAGTAGTTATACATACTACCGACCAATTAGATCTTCAGGAACTCAAAGCACTGACTGACTACTGGTCAGTAGAAATTTGCATCACTGACCATTCAGTACTAATTTATCTATTATTTCGTCAGTTGTTGAACAAACCAGTATTATGCCAGTGGCAATGATTTTGGTCAGTAGTAACTTCAGCTGTTTTCCAAAGCTCACTTCGGTTAAAACTAAGTAGCAATTACTTGTTAACGATATGCAGATAATGGTTTTATGATACAGGAGTGTGATGTTTGGGAGTGTGATGTTTGGGAGATGATACAGGAGTGTTATGTTTGGGAGATGATACAGGAGTGTTATGTTAGGGAGATGATACAGGAGTGTTATGTTTGGGAGATGATACAGGAGAGTGTTATGTTTGGGAGATGATACAGGAGTGTTATGTTTGGGAGATGATACAGGAGTGTGTTATGTTGGGAGATGATACAGGAGTGTTATGTTTGGGAGATGATACAGGAATGTTATGTTTGGGAGATGATACAGGAGTGTTATGTTTGGGAGATGATACAGGAGAGTGTTATGTTTGGGAGATGATACAGGAGTGGGTTATGTTTGGGAGATGATACAGGAGTGTTATGTTTGGGAGATGATACAGGAGTGGGTTATGTTTGGGAGATGATACAGGAGTGGGTTATGTTTGGGAGATGATACAGGAGTGGGTTATGTTTGGGAGATGATACAGGAGTGTTATGTTTGGGAGATGATACAGGAGTGTGTTATGTTGGGAGATGATACAGGAGTGTTATGTTTGGGAGATGATACAGGAGAGTGTTATGTTTGGGAGATGATACAGGAGTGTTATGTTTGGGAGATGATACAGGAGTGTTATGTTTGGGAGATGATACAGGAGTGTGTTATGTTAGGGAGATGATACAGGAGTGTTATGTTTGGGAGATGATACAGGAGTGTGTTATGTTGGGAGATGATACAGGAGTGTTATGTTTGGGAGATGATACAGGAGAGTGTTATGTTTGGGAGATGATACAGGAGTGGGTTATGTTTGGGAGATGATACAGGAGTGTGTTATGTTGGGAGATGATACAGGAGTGTGTTATGTTGGGAGATGATACAGGAGTGTTATGTTGGGAGATGATACAGGAGTGTTATGTTGGGTGATGATACAGGAGTGTTATGTTTGGGAGATGATACAGGAGTGTGTTATGTTTGGGAGATGATACAGGAGTGTGTTATGTTGGGAGATGATACAGGAGTGTGTTATGTTGGGAGATGATACAGGAGTGTTATGTTTGGGAGATGATACAGGAGTGGGTTATGTTTGGGAGATGATACAGGAGTGTGTTATGTTGGGAGATGATACAGGAGTGTTATGTTTGGGAGATGATACAGGAGTGTGTTATGTTGGGAGATGATACAGGAGTGTTATGTTTGGGAGATGATACAGGAGAGTGTTATGTTTGGGAGATGATACAGGAGTGGGTTATGTTTGGGAGATGATACAGGAGAGTGTTATGTTGGGAGATGATACAGGAGTGTTATGTTTGGGAGATGACACAGGAATGTTATGTTTGGGAGATGACACAGGAATGTTATGTTTGGGAGATGATACAGGAGTGGGTTATGTTTGGGAGATGATACAGGAGTGTGTTATGTTGGGAGATGATACAGGAGTGTTATGTTTGGGAGATGATACAGGAGTGTGTTATGTTTGGGAGATGATACAGGAGTGGGTTATGTTTGGGAGATGATACAGGAGTGTGTTATGTTGGGAGATGATACAGGAGTGTGTTATGTTTGGGAGATGATACAGGAATGTTATGTTTGGGAGATGATACAGGAGTGGGTTATGTTTGGGAGATGATACAGGAGTGTTATGTTTGGGAGATGATACAGGAGAGTGTTATGTTTGGGAGATGATACAGGAGTGTTATGTTTGGGAGATGATACAGGAGTGTTATATTTAGGGAGATGATACAGGAGTGTTATGTTTGGGAGATGATACAGGAGAGTGTTATGTTTGGGAGATGATACAGTCGTGTGTTATGTTTGTGAGATTTTACAGGAGTGTGTTATGTTTGGGAGATGATACAGGAGAGTGTTATGTTTGGGAGATGATACAGGAGTGTTATGTTTGGGAGATGATACAGGAGTGTTATGTTTGGGAGATGATACAGGAGTGTGTTATGTTTGGGAGATGATACAGGAGTGGGTTATGTTTGGGAGATGATACAGGAGTGTTATGTTTGGGAGATGATACAGGAGAGTGTTATGTTTGGGAGATGATACAGGAGTGTTATGTTTGGGAGATGATACAGGAGTGTTATGTTTGGGAGATGTTACCGGCGTGTTATGTTTGGGAGATGATACAGGTGTGTTATGTTTGGGAGATGATACAGGCGAGTGTTATGTTTGGGAGATGATACAGGAGTGTGTTATGTTTGGGAGATGATACAGGAGTGTTATGTTTGGGAGATGATACAGGAGTGTGTTATGTTGGGAGATGATACAGGAGTGTGTTATGTTTGGGAGATGATACAGGAATGTTATGTTTGGGAGATGATACAGGAGTGTTATGTTTGGGAGATGATACAGGAGTGTGTTATGTTTGGGAGATGACAGGAGAGTGTTATGTTTGGGAGATGATACAGGAGTGTGTTATGTTGGGAGATGATACAGGAGTGTTATGTTTGGGAGATGATACAGGAGAGTGTTATGTTTGGGAGATGATACAGGAGTGTGTTATGTTTGGGAGATGATACAGGAGTGTTATGTTTGGGAGATGATACAGGAGTGTTATGTTTGGGAGATGATACAGGAGTGTTATGTTTGGGAGATGATACAGGAGTGTGTTATGTTAGGGAGATGATACAGGAGTGTGTTATGTTGGGAGATGATACAGGAGTGTTATGTTTGGGAGATGATACAGGAGAGTGTTATGTTTGGGAGATGATACAGGAGAGTGTTATGTTGGGAGATGATACAGGAGTGTTATGTTTGGGAGATGACACAGGAAGTGTGTTATGTTTGGGAGATGATACAGGAGTGTTATGTTTGGGAGATGATACAGGAGTGTGTTATGTTTGGGAGATGATACAGGAGTGTTATGTTTGGGAGATGATACAGGAGAGTGTTATGTTTGGGAGATGATACAGGAGTGTTATGTTTGGGAGATGATACAGGAGTGTTATATTAGGGAGATGATACAGGAGTGTTATGTTTGGGAGATGATACAGGAGAGTGTTATGTTTGGGAGATGATACAGGAGTGTGTTATGTTTGGGAGATGATACAGGAGTGGGTTATGTTTGGGAGATGATACAGGAGAGTGTTATGTTGGGAGATGATACAGGAGTGTTATGTTTGGGAGATGACACAGGAATGTTATGTTTGGGAGATGACACAGGAATGTTATGTTTGGGAGATGATACAGGAGTGGGTTATGTTTGGGAGATGATACAGGAGTGTTATGTTTGGGAGATGATACAGGAGAGTGTTATGTTTGGGAGATGATACAGGAGTGTTATGTTTGGGAGATGATACAGGAGTGTTATATTAGGGAGATGATACAGGAGTGTTATGTTTGGGAGATGATACAGGAGAGTGTTATGTTTGGGAGATGATACAGGAGTGTGTTATGTTTGGGAGATGATACAGGAGTGGGTTATGTTTGGGAGATGATACAGGAGTGTTATGTTTGGGAGATGATACGGGAGAGTGTTATGTTTGGGAGATGATACAGGAGTGTGTTATGTTTGGGAGATGATGCAGGAGTGTTATATTTGGGAGATGATACAGGAGTGTTATGTTTGGGAGATGATACAGGAGTGTGTTATGTTTGGGAGATGATACAGGAGTGTGTTATGTTTGGGAGATGATACAGGAGTGTTATATTTGGGAGATGATACAGGAGTGTTATGTTTGGGAGATGATACAGGAGTGTGTTATGTTTGGGAGATGATACAGGAGTGGGTTATGTTTGGGAGATGATACAGGAGTGGGTTATGTTTGGGAGATGATACAGGAGTGTTATATTTGGGAGATGATACAGGAGTGTTATGTTTGGGAGATGATACAGGAGTGTGTTATGTTTGGGAGATGATACAGGAGTGGGTTATGTTTGGGAGATGATACAGGAGTGTTATGTTTGGGAGATGATACAGGAGAGTGTTATGTTTGGGAGATGATACAGGATGTTTGGGATGTGATGTGTATTTTGAAGGATGATATATTTCAGTGTACAGTGATATAATTGCTTACTTTGTATAAACTTTTACATTGTAGTGGAGCACCTCCAGGTCATGATACATAGCTGCTGGCTCTCCAACCACATGGATAAGCAAACTGACCAGACAGTGACCCTCATAGAAAATGGGTAAAATCTTAATTCATCAGGAAACATTGTATGATGTTTCACTGTTCATAGATGTGTTTTAGAAAATTGTTTAGGATTACAGGTGTATGGTAACCTGTGTTTGTTAAAGGATGTAGGTATAGGGTGACCTGTGTATGTTAAGGGGTGTAGGTATAGGGTAACCTGTGTATGTTTAGGGGTGTAGATGTAGGGTAAGTTGTGTATGTTTCGAGGTGAAGGGTGACCTGTGTATGTTTAGGGTTTTAGTTATAGAGTGACCTGTGTATGTTTAGGGTTGTAGATATAGGGTGACCTGTGTATGTTAAGGGTTGTAGATATAGGGTGACCTGTGTACCTGATATGGGTAACCTGTGTTTGTTTAGGGTTGTAGATATAGGGTAACCTGTGTATGTTTAGGGTTGTAGATATAGGGTAACCTGTGTATGTTTAGGGTTGTAGATATAGGGTAACCTGTGTATGTTTAGGGTTGTAGATATAGGGTAACCTGTGTATGTTTAGGGTTGTAGATATAGGGTAACCTGTGTATGTTTAGGGGTGTAGATGTAAGGAAAGTTGTGTATGTTTAGAGGTGAAGGGTGACCTGTGTATGTTTAGGGTTGTAGATATAGGGTAACCTGTGTATGTTTAGGGGTGTAGATGTAAGGTAAGTTGTGTATGTTTAGAGGTGAAGGGTGACCTGTGTATGTTTAGGGTTGTAGATATAGGGTAACCTGTGTATGTTTAGGGTTGTAGATATAGGGTAACCTGTGTATGTTTAGGGTTGTAGATATAGGGTAACCTGTGTATGTTTAGGGTTGTAGATATAGGGTAACCTGTGTATGTTTAGGGTTGTAGATATAGGGTGACCTGTGTATGTTAAGGGTTGTAGATATAGGGTGACCTGTGTATGTTAAGGGTTGTAGATATAGGGTGACCTGTGTATGTTAAGGGTTGTAGATATAGGGTGACCTGTGTATGTTAAGGGTTGTAGATATAGGGTGACCTGTGTATGTTTAGGGTTGTAGATATAGGGTAACCTGTGTATGTTTAGGGTTGTAGATATAGGGTAACCTGTGTATGTTAAGGGTTGTAGATATAGGGTGACCTATGTATGTTAAGGGTTGTAGATATAGGGTAACCTGTGTATGTTAAGGGTTGTAGATATAGGGTAACCTGTGTATGTTTAGGGTTGTAGATATAGGGTAACCTGTGTATGTTTAGGGTTGTAGATATAGGGTAACCTGTGTATGTTTAGGGTTGTAGATATAGGGTAACCTGTGTATGTTTAGGGGTGTAGATGTAAGGCAAGTTGTGTATGTTTAGAGGTGAAGGGTGACCTGTGTATGTTTAGGGTTGTAGATATAGGGTAACCTGTGTATGTTTAGGGGTGTAGATGTAAGGTAAGTTGTGTATGTTTAGAGGTGAAGGGTGACCTGTGTATGTTTAGGGTTGTAGATATAGGGTAACCTGTGTATGTTTAGGGTTGTAGATATAGGGTAACCTGTGTATGTTTAGGGTTGTAGATATAGGGTAACCTGTGTATGTTTAGGGTTGTAGATATAGGGTAACCTGTGTATGTTTAGGGTTGTAGATATAGGGTGACCTGTGTATGTTAAGGGTTGTAGATATAGGGTGACCTGTGTATGTGAAGGGTTGTAGATATAGGGTGACCTGTGTATGTTAAGGGTTGTAGATATAGGGTAACCTGTGTATGTTAAGGGTTGTAGATATAGGGTAACCTGTGTATGTTTAGGGTTGTAGATATAGGGTAACCTGTGTATATTTAGGGTTGTAGATATAGGGTAACCTGTGTATGTTAAGGGTTGTAGATATAGGGTGACCTGTGTATGTTAAGGGTTGTAGATATAGGGTAACCTGTGTATGTTAAGGGTTGTAGATATAGGGTAACCTGTGTATGTTTAGGGTTGTAGATATAGGGTAACCTGTGTTTGTTTAGGGTTGTAGATATAGGGTAACCTGTGTATGTTTAGGGTTGTAGATATAGGGTAACCTGTGTATGTTTAGGGGTGTAGATATAGGGTAACCGGTGTATGTTTAGGGTTGTAGATATAGGGTAACCTGTGTATGTTTAGGGGGTGTATGTGGAAGATAACCTATGTATGTTTGTTGTTTTAGATGTAGAAAGCCATCTGTGCGTTGGATCACTAACCAGTCATTCCTCGGAGCCAGCTGGGGATCCAATGTTTATGCTCAGCGATTCAGTTTCAACACGGGTGACCATTTCCATGCAATGTTCCTTCAGTGTCGACTGGGAGTTTGTAGTAGAAACACTGAGCTTGCTCAGGGAATTCCTGTAAGTCTATGTTGATGAAAGATGACTTCTGGTAAAATATCACTCTGTTAACGTGAACTGTAGCAGTACACTGATGGATAGGATCATGAACTCTGTGTGTGTAATGTATATCATCTGGTATTTATTGCATTCCTGATTGATAGTTGTTCCATAAAATAGTGACACTACATAAAACTGAGAAATGTCTAGATAGAGACACTGCGATACAAAAAAGATTTAAGACACACTTGTCAGAAGGTTTAATTTCAATCTCTAATCACTTAAAATTGCACCGTTTTCTATGGTGACAAACTGAGAACATGACCTAGATTACATGATTGGTTGCAGTTTCTTCCTGTCGCTATGTGTTAACTTTTCAACAACCATCAGTGATCTGGGTGACACAAATTTTACCCACATGAGTGCTTTCCAAATTCATGTTGATTACATGGCCATTCTGTGTTAAGCTAAATTTGTTCTATAAGGGAGATAACTCAACAAGTATAAAAATTTCTAGAAATGACCCCACTCATTTGTTTGGTATCTAAGTTGTCTCATTATCACCAGTGTTTATAACCAAAATTAGTAGAGTATAGCAAGTTGTACGTTTATGGTGCTTTTGTTAGCAAGACTAAATTAGTATTATCAATTCATTTCCAGTCTTCAGATAGAATTATGATTAAAACAGGTAACTATGCAGAAGAAAGAAAATCATTTTTCATATTTACATAAATAAAATATAAAAAAAATCACTGACAGATCAGTATTTTGTAATTTATCCAGTGCGGAGATGAGATGTGTGGAAAAATCGACAACAACATGTCAGGAAAGCTGATCGTCCGTGGTCCACTGGAAATCTCTGGACAGAAAGAGCCTCCCGAACCCAGTCGAAAAACGATAATTAAACCACCAATAAACCAAGGTCTGTATCCAGCTGTCAATATCAATGTATCCTGTATACAGTTCTCAATACAATGTATCCTGTATACAGTTCTCAATGCCGACAATGTATCCTGTATACAGTTCTCAATACAATGTATCCTGTATACAGTTCTCAATGCAGACAATGTATCCTGTATACAGTTCTCAATACAATGTATCCTGTATACAGTTCTCAATACAATGTATCCTGTATACAGTTCTCAATATAATCATGTTTTCCATTCACGACAGTGTCATTGTCACTGTTTCGTTCATGACATAGTATCATTGTCACTGTTTTCCATTCACGACAGTGTCATTGTCACTGTTTCGTTCACGACCTAGTATCATTGTCACTGTTTTCCATTCACGACATAGTATCATTGTCACTGTTTTCCATTCACGACATAGTATCATTGTCACTGTTTTCCATTCACGATATAGTGTCATTGTCACTGTTTTCCATTCACAACATAGTATCATTGTCATTGTTTTCCATTCACGACAGTGTCATTGTCACTGTTTCATTCACAACATAGTATCATTGTCACTGTTTTCCATTCACGATATAGTGTCATTGTCACTGTTTTCCATTCACGACATAGTATCATTGTCACTGTTTTCCATTCACGACATAGTGTCATTGTCACTGTTTCATTCACGACATAGTGTCATTGTCACTGTTTCATTCTCGACATAGTATCATTGTCACTGTTTCATTCACAACATAGTGTCATTGTCACTGTTTTCCATTCACAACATAGTGAAACTGTTAAAAAGTCAAACTGATATAACAGGTGTGGTGAATATGTGATGTTACAGATGTTACGGTGAAATCAGATACAAGATATTTAAGAAGTTATGAATATACCAACCTACAGGTGGTTTGAATGTTGTAAAAATGGTTGTGAATTAATGTGCAGGGTATTACAGGTAATGATGATATACCTATGTTATTACCTGTGATGATAATATACCTATATGTTATTACCTGTGATGATAATATACCTATATGTTATTACCTGTGATGATAATATACCTATATGTTATTACCTGTGATGATAATATACCTATATGTTATTACCTGTGATGATAATATACCTATATGTTATTACCTGTGATGATAATATACCTATATGTTATTACCTGTGATGATAATATACCTATATGTTATTACCTGTGATGATAATATACCTATATGTTATTACCTGTGATGATAATATACCTATATGTTATTACCTGTGATGATAATATACCTATATGTTATTACCTGTGATGATAATATACCTATATGTTATTACCTGTGATGATAATATACCTATATGTTATTACCTGTGATGATAATATACCTATATGTTATTACCTGTGATGATAATATACCTATATGATATTACAGGTGTTATTCCTAAAGCCGAACAAAGCAAACCCCGTGATTCCAACATCCGCCATAATTCCAACCATGCTGACACCATTGTGATTGAGGGTCTGGATTCTGGAACGGTTGTTGGCATTGCATTTGCTGCATTTATTATTGGAGTACTATTGATGGCAGCATTGTGGTTCATCCACACACATACAGGTAGGTAAATCTGTTAGTAGTGGTACCTCCACACACATACAGGTAGGTAAATCTGTCGGTAGTGGTATCTCCACACACATACAGGTAGGTAAATCTGTCAGTAGTGGTACATCCACACACATACAGGTAGGTAAATCTGTCAGTAGTGGTACATCCACACACATACAGGTAGGTAAATCTGTCAGTAGTGGTACATCCACACACATACAGGTAGGTAAATCTGTCAGTAGTGGTACATCCACACACATACAGGTAGGTAAATCTGTCAGTAGTGGTACATCCACACACATACAGGTAGGTAAATCTGTCAGTAGTGGTACATCCACACACATACAGGTAGGTAAATCTGTCAGTAGTGGTACATCCACACACATACAGGTAGGTAAATCTGTCAGTAGTGGTACATCCACACACATACAGGTAGGTAAATCTGTCAGTAGTGGTACCTCCACACACATACAGGTAGGTAAATCTGTCAGTAGTGGTACCTCCACACACATACAGGTAGGTAAATCTGTCAGTAGTGGTACATCCACACACATACAGGTAGGTAAATCTGTCAGTAGTGGTACATCCACACACATACAGGTAGGTAAATCTGTCAGTAGTGGTACATCCACACACATACAGGTAGGTAAATCTGTCAGTAGTGGTACCTCCACACACATACAGGTAGGTAAATCTGTCAGTAGTGGTACCTCCACACACATACAGGTAGGTAAATCTGTCAGTAGTGGTACATCCACACACATACAGGTAGGTAAATCTGTCAGTAGTGGTACATCCACACACATACAGGTAGGTAAATCTGTCAGTAGTGGTACATCCACACACATACAGGTAGGTAAATCTGTCAGTAGTGGTACATCCACACACATACAGGTAGGTAAATCTGTTAGTAGTGGTACCTCCACACACATACAGGTAGGTAAATCTGTCAGTAGTGGTATCTCCACACACATACAGGTAGGTAAATCTGTTAGTAGTGGTACCTCCACACACACAGGTAAATCTGTCAGTAGTGGTACATCCACACACATACAGGTAGGTAAATCTGTCAGTAGTGGTACATCCACACACATACAGGTAGGTAAATCTGTTAGTAGTGGTACCTCCACACACATACAGGTAGGTAAATCTGTCAGTAGTGGTATCTCCACACACATACAGGTAGGTAAATCTGTCAGTAGTGGTACATCCACACACATACAGGTAGGTAAATCTGTCAATAGTGGTACATCCACACACATACAGGTAGGTAAATCTGTCAGTAGTGGTACATCCACACACATACAGGTAGGTAAATCTGTCAGTAGTGGTACCTCCACACACATACAGGTAGGTAAATCTGTCAGTAGTGGTACATCCACACACATACAGGTAGGTAAATCTGTTAGTAGTGGTACCTCCACACACATACAGGTAGGTAAATCTGTCAGTAGTGGTATCTCCACACACATACAGGTAGGTAAATCTGTCAGTAGTGGTACATCCACACACATACAGGTAGGTAAATCTGTCAGTAGTGGTACATCCACACACATACAGGTAGGTAAATCTGTCAATAGTGGTACATCCACACACATACAGGTAGGTAAATCTGTCAGTAGTGGTACATCCACACACATACAGGTAGGTAAATCTGTCAGTAGTGGTACCTCCACACACATACAGGTAGGTAAATCTGTCAGTAGTGGTACATCCACACACATACAGGTAGGTAAATCTGTTAGTAGTGGTACCTCCACACACATACAGGTAGGTAAATCTGTCAGTAGTGGTATCTCCACACACATACAGGTAGGTAAATCTGTCAGTAGTGGTACATCCACACACATACAGGTAGGTAAATCTGTCAATAGTGGTACATCCACACACATACAGGTAGGTAAATCTGTCAGTAGTGGTACATCCACACACATACAGGTAGGTAAATCTGTCAGTAGTGGTACCTCCACACACATACAGGTAGGTAAATCTGTCAGTAGTGGTACCTCCACACACATACAGGTAGGTAAATCTGTCAGTAGTGGTACATCCACACACATACAGGTAGGTAAATCTGTCAGTAGTGGTACATCCACACACATACAGGTAGGTAAATCTGTCAGTAGTGGTACATCCACACACATACAGGTAGGTAAATCTGTCAGTAGTGGTACATCCACACACATACAGGTAGGTAAATCTGTCAGTAGTGGTACATCCACACACATACAGGTAGGTAAATCTGTTAGTAGTGGTACCTCCACACACATACAGGTAGGTAAATCTGTCAGTAGTGGTATCTCCACACACATACAGGTAGGTAAATCTGTTAGTAGTGGTACCTCCACACACATACAGGTAGGTAAATCTGTCAGTAGTGGTACATCCACACACATACAGGTAGGTAAATCTGTCAGTAGTGGTACATCCACACACATACAGGTAGGTAAATCTGTTAGTAGTGGTACCTCCACACACATACAGGTAGGTAAATCTGTCAGTAGTGGTATCTCCACACACATACAGGTAGGTAAATCTGTCAGTAGTGGTACATCCACACACATACAGGTAGGTAAATCTGTCAATAGTGGTACATCCACACACATACAGGTAGGTAAATCTGTCAGTAGTGGTACATCCACACACATACAGGTAGGTAAATCTGTCAGTAGTGGTACCTCCACACACATACAGGTAGGTAAATCTGTCAGTAGTGGTGCATCCACACACATACAGGTAGGTAAATCTGTCAGTAGTGGTACCTCCACACACATACAGGTAGGTAAATCTGTCAGTAGTGGTATCTCCACACACATACAGGTAGGTAAATCTGTCAGTAGTGGTACATCCACACACATACAGGTAGGTAAATCTGTCAATAGTGGTACATCCACACACATACAGGTAGGTAAATCTGTCAGTAGTGGTACATCCACACACATACAGGTAGGTAAATCTGTCAGTAGTGGTACCTCCACACACATACAGGTAGGTAAATCTGTCAGTAGTGGTACCTCCACACACATACAGGTAGGTAAATCTGTCAGTAGTGGTACATCCACACACATACAGGTAGGTAAATCTGTCAGTAGTGGTACATCCACACACATACAGGTAGCGAAATGAAATTTATGTTCTTACTCCTGGCTACTAACATACTTTTGTTGTCTTTAGATACTCACAGTACCAAAAATGTTTTAATTGGTTTCTCGTTCACAAGATAGAGGGGAGATAACTTTTATTTAGAACACATCAGATGCCAGTTGGAGTTGCAGTGGATGTGAAATTGAGATGTACATGATTATATATGTCCACCCTATGGAGAGGGCTTTATTTAGCCTTTTGCCTAATACCAATTGAAATTTTTCAATGAAATATTTGTGAAATTAAAACTATATGTAGGTGATGAGTTGATAGTAGTAACTAATGAGATGATGTTGCATTCCTCATCTGTTTTCAGGTCCTATTAAGCATGCAGTGGCTTCCCGTGGTGGGGTGCTGTCTGGGAGTGGGGAGTCGACACCAATGTCTACTGCCCCCATTACCATCAATTCATAGTGGTTGTGGACAAAGTGGCGAAGAATGTGGCTGACAACTGCTGGCCTTGTACATGTTTGGCCATGGCTGACCATAGCTGGCCTCGTACATGTTTGGCCATGGCTGACCATAGCTGACCTCGTACATGTTTGGCCATGGCTGACCATTGCTGGCCTTGTGTGGCCAATTACAGTCAATACAAATCAATTTCACGGTAAAACGGGTAGCCTGGATGTGCTCTGATCAGGTATCATCTTGGTTAGAACATTTCTTGTCTGGGTTTCGTCAGTTATATGCTGAGTCTGTCTCAGTTTTATTATTGTTTCTTTTTTTTTGTCATTATGATTTAGTTTTTTTCACTAAGTTATGCATATCTTGTTGATGTACTCCTAGTATCCTGTATCTAGTGCTGAATCATTATATAATACATTGTTAGTAGGATATTTGCAATATTGTCCATAGCCCAGTTACTAGGAAACTATCATCCACTTTATTTTATATACATACTGTATCTACTTATTTAAGCGTGCTGAAATTTTCAGGGTTTTGTTGTTTTTGTTTCTGTCACTTAGTGGATGCTAGAATCTTGAAGGGTTACTTTGTTGATACACAGAATATGAACTGAGAACTGATGTTACTGGGAATAACTTCTACTTTTTATTGGTTTCTAAATTTTCAGTCTCATTTTCTTTGCCTCAATTACATTTACTGTTAAGGCATAATAAGGCACACTGACATTGATTTGTTTCTTTGGTCTTTTGGTATCGATTCTTGTGTCTGACATCGATTCCAGTGTCTGACATTGATTCTTGTGTCTGACATCGATTCTTGTGTCTGACATTGATTCCAGTGTCTGACATCGATTCTTGTGTCTGACATTGATTCTTGTGTCTGACATCGATTATTGTCTGACATTGATTCTTGTGTCTGACATCGATTCCAGTGTCTGACATTGATTCTTGTGTCTGACATTGATTCCAGTGTCTGACATTGATTCTTGTGTCTGACATTGATTCCAGTGTCTGACATTGATTCCAGTGTCTGACATCGATTCTTGTGTCTGACATTGATTCTTGTGTCTGACATCGATTATTGTCTGACATTGATTCTTGTGTCTGACATCGATTCCAGTGTCTGACATTGATTCTTGTGTCTGACATTGATTCCAGTGTCTGACATTGATTCTTGTGTCTGACATTGATTCCAGTGTCTGACATTGAATCCTGTGTCTGACATTGATTCCAGTGTCTGACATTGATTCTTGTGTCTGACATTGATTCCTGTGTCTGACATCAATTTCATTATCTCAGGAAAGATTTCAATATATCAATAGTTAAAAGAAATCTTTGAAAGCTTTCAGTCAGGTGGTTGATGAAAGCTTTCAGTCATGTGGTTGATGAAAGCTTTCAGTCACATGTGGTTGATGAAAGCTTTCAGTCATGTGGTGGATGAAAGCTTTCAGTCATGTGGTTAATGAAAGCTTTCAGTCATGTGGTTGATGAAAGCTTTCAGTCACATGTGGTTGATGAAAGCTTTCAATCATGTGGTTGATGAAAGCTTTCTGTCATGTGGTTGATGAAAGCTTTCAGTCATGTGGTTGATGAAAGCTTTCAGTCATGTGGTTGATGAAAGCTTTCAGTCACATGTGGTTGATGAAAGCTTTCAATCATGTGGTTGATGAAAGCTTTCTGTCATGTGGTTGATGAAAGCTTTCAGTCCTGTGATTGATGAAAGCTTTCTGTCATGTGGTTGATGAAAGCTTTCAGTCATGTGGTTGATGAAAGCTTTCAGTCATGTGGTTGATGAAAGCTGACCTAAACAGGAAGCATTACATGGTATTATCAGGAAGTTCACAGTTGTCAAAATAAGTTACAAAATTTATAAAACATTCGGAATTGTTTTGCTCAAAACACTGTAAAATGTGTTCTGACTCCAGCATTTTCCAATGTAATTACCCAATAATCAGTCCTGTGTATGTGTCATGTGGTTTCAGTTCTGTCATCTGTGGTCAGCCTGGCTCGCTCATGGTTGATGAGTGTCTGGACCATTCTGAGAACGAAATGTAGAAATAGAACGGGTATTTATTGTATAAACTCCTTACCTCATACACCTTACTTACGTATAGAGTAATGGTGCTCTTACTCTTTTAGATTAATGCAACATATTGGTGCTTTGTAGTTTTCAACATTTTGTTTTTTGTCAAAAAAGGCTATGTGTTGTTATGTTTGTTTCTGTTGTTAATGGTTGTTTTTTCCTTCTCAAATATCAGACTGATTAGTCACACAAGCTCCTTGATGATTGGGATCATCTGTATTTGCAAGCTTCTTGAGGATTGAGATTGTCTGTATTCACAGGAAATGTCCTTTTAAACCCTCTATTGTATACTGGTGTTTATAAATAGAAATAAGAAATTGATCTGACTGTTAACATTTTTTTTTTTTTTTCAAGCATGTGGTTTAATTTTTTTACAAAGTATATGACAAGGAAGGCAAATGACATGCCTATGAATGTGTAATCTTCCTTTAAAATATGGAATTATGATCTTTTTTGAAAAGCTATCTTTGTTTTCTGTTAATATCTAGATTGTCACAGATCTTGTCTCGGTTACCTAGGTTACCACATGCAGTCAGGTCTTGTCAAGGTTAACTTGGTTTTCACATACAGTCAGATCTTGGCTCGGTTACCTAGGTTACCACATGCAGTCAGGTCTTATCTTAGTTACTTAGCTTACGAGATACACTCACTGGTCTTGTCTTAGTTACCACATACAGTTACAGGTCTTGTCTTGGCAACCTAGGTTACCACAGTCACAGATCTTCTCATGGTAATCTAGGTTACCACAGTCACAGAGATTGTTTAGATCTTGTACATGACTGTAGATAAACCTTATAGACATTGTCCTACTTCAGTAACTACACACATAGATCTTAACATTGGTTGTCTTCTGAAGGAGATCTCATCCTGGTTACCAGTTTGACTATGGTCATGATTGAGGTTACCATCGGTAACTTGGTTACCTTATTGGACAGGGAAACCACTGGAATCTTTGTTAGCTTACTTTATGTTTTTGTCAATTTTGTTTATTGTTTTTAACAATCACATCTCCCATCAAGTTATTTACAGGAGCACAGGTTTTGATTTCTCAGTCACAAGCGGTGTTTCAGTATAAATTCCGTTGGAATATTTTGACACCAAATTTGTTTGAAGTCTTTTGTACACTAGTGTGTAAGGGCATTACAGCCACATTGTGTTTCATGTGTAAGGTCAGTACATGTTTAGTTAAAGTCTAGTACACACATCTAGAAAAAGTCTTACTATTCAGATTTTCACTTTTTGTAAATTTTGAATGAGAGGAATATCACTAATGACAAAGATTAATTTTGATGATGATGTTTAAATAATGCTGAAGAGGATGTTTTTACAGATATTAAAGATTTAAGATAAGTTGTATGGTATACTAGATAAGCTCTATGGTACACTAGATAAGCTCTGTGGTACACTAGATAAGCTCTATGGTACACCAGATAAGCACTACATAAGCTCTATGGTACACTAGATAAGTTCTGTGGTACACCAGATAAGTTCTATGGTACACCAGATAAGTTCTATGGTACACCAGATAAGCACTACATAAGCTCTATGGTACACTAGATAAGTTCTATGCTACACTAGATAAGCTCTATGGTGCACTAGATAAGCGCTATGGTACACTAGATAAGCTCTTTGGTACACCAGATAAGCTCTATGGTACACTAGATAAGTTCTATGGTACACTAGATAAGCTCTATGGTACACCAGATAAGCTCTATGGTGCACCAGATAAGCTCTATGGTACACCAGATAAGTTCTATGGTACACTAGATAAGCTCAATGGTACACCAGATAAGCTCTATGGTGCACCAGATAAGCTCTATGGTACACTAGATAAGTTCTATGGTACACCAGATAAGCTCTATGGTGCACCAGATAAGCTCTATGGTACACCAGATAAGTTCTATGGTACACTAGATAAGCTCAATGGTACACCAGATAAGCTCTATGGTGCACCAGATAAGCTCTATGGTACACCAGGTAAGCACTAGATAAGCTCTATGGTACACCAGTTAAGTTCTATAGTACACCAGATAAGTTCTATGGTACACCAGATAAGCACTACATAAGCTCTATGGTACACTAGATAAGTTCTATGGTACACTAGATAAGCTCTATAGTACACTAGATAAGTTCTATGGTACACCAGATAAGCACTAGTTAAGCTCTATGGTACACCAGATAAGCTCTATGGTACACTAGATAAGTTCTATGGTACACTAGATAAGCTCTATGGTACACAAGAAGCACACAGTGACATTTATCTGAAGATCTGTCAATAGATTATTTTCTTTTTTCTTTTAATTTTTTAAATTGTTGTTATCCTATGTTGAAAAAATCATGATATACGATCAAAAATGAGAACTACCCAGTACATTTGACTGCTGATTACAGGAAACATGTAGGGTTGGAAGTTGTAAAATAAGGCAATTCTCACTTCAGTGACACTGAAAAAATAACAGCAATTGTCATAGCAGTGATAGTTGAATTTTACCTATTTCTTACAGAAATTTGTCAATTGATTATTGATTTTTGCGATGTTTTTCAGTTGTTGAAAGCCACTGTTTATTTTAGTTGATTTTCCAATGTATTACTATTGTATACATGACATTTTATTTCAGTTATTTGTTTCATGACCTTATGTTCCTTCATTTTATCTTAAACATGTTTTAGTTCACTTTTTAAAATTAAATTTCAAGTAAATTTATTTTATCAATTATCTAGAAGCTGTTGAATTGCCTTTTTAATTTCTCTGGGCCCCTAGAAATAAAGCATGGTTATATATTATGACTGTACGGTGTGCGATTCTGTGTATATGTATTATATATTTGTTTGAAATGATTTATTTTCAAAATTTTTGTTGCCGAGGTTGAATTCATCCCCGTTAAATCTCATTATAAATGGCAATCTCATAAAACACAAAACAGTAT